TAAAAAATATTTTAATGTATTTAATATCTTAACAAACTTTCAAACATTTTTTATTGAGTAAAATAATTTTTTGGTCTACTCGTCGTTTTTATTTTAAATAATTATACTTTAAATAATTATATATTTTAAATAATTATACTTTTGGTTAAAATGGTTGCTATTTTATTACATAGACAACAGAGTGCATTAATGTCACAATAATTTCCACTTATGTAATAAATCATCAAAATGACGCACTCTCAAGTTTTATTTACCAAAGTGTCAAAAGACCCCAAAAATCAAATGTACCAAATATGCAAAACTCATCAACGAAACAACATATTTGATAAACATCAAGTAAAACACTTCATGACATCAAAATGCATATTTTTGACATGTACAAAGTTTTCATAAAATAATTTGAACTCACCTTGTTAAGTTAGGTTAAACCTAGAATTCAAACCCAAAACTTTCGCTTCCAAAATCTGAAGATCTGAGATCCACAAGCAATTCCTTCCAATAACCTCTCAAGATTACTTTCCATGGCTAGAAGTAGGGGTGGCAAAAAATGACCCAACCCGCTAATCCAACCCAAACACAAACCAAAATTAGCAGGTTGGGTTGAGATTTTCAACCCATTTAAATAAATGGGTCAACATGTCTAACTCATTTAAATAAATGATCTGGGTTGGGTTAAATTTTTTGACCCGTTTTCAACCCATTAAAAATATTATATGATTTTATTTTATTCTTAATATTATATCTAGTATTCTAACTTTTTATTTTGTTTTATTCTTAATTAAAAATCCTACCATCGTGAGATTGAGATGGAACTCCAGATTCCAATCGCCTCCATTACTCTTAATCATCATGAAACCCTAAGAAAAACTTTTAGTCCATTACTCTATTATCGTCTTCAAAGTCCAATCCAACTTATTTTGAACAATATATTTGTTGTGGTTGTGTTTTTATTCAAACTTTGAACAATTTGTTTGTATTTGTAGTTGTGTTTTATTAAAAAAAACAGTATAGTCCTTTTTTTGTTTAAAATTTTAAAATTAAATGGGTCAGCCCAAGTTTAACTCATTTATTTTACAGGTTAGGTTAAGGAAATCGTAAACAAGTCAACCCGCTGTCAACCCATTTAGGTTACATGTTGGGTTGGGTTGAAAAATCTTAACCTATTTAATTAAATGGGTTGGGTTGAGTTGAGATTTTTCAACCTGTTTAATAGATAAGTTTAACCCGAACCCAACCCAACCTGATCCATTGCCACCCCTAGCTAGAAGTAAACTAAATATGAACACAAACTTTAGATCCACAAGAATCCCCAAAATGAAGATCAAAACACCCAAGAACTTACCTCATCAAGATCTTGAAACCCCCTATCAAAGATTTTCAATCTCCAAGATTCTCTTCTCCATTTGCTGAAAATCTCCCAAAAATCGGCCCCAAGGCTTTCGAAATTGCCCAAAATCGAGAGGATATGAAGAGAGAGGAAGAAAATGGAGAAAACCCCTAAAAACCGGCCTTGAAAAATGTTCTGGAGGCTTCTTGTGACGTTTCCCGCGACCTAAGTCATGTGATAAGTCTCCCACGTCCCTAAACCTATTTTACTGAAACTGTGAGTTAAGCGTGCGGCTTTTCGTTTTACGTAGCGGGAAAGGTGGTAGGGTTTTTTTTTATTTTACCAAAGGACCTTTGCCCTAGCGGTATGTGAGTCATTGGCCTTTTAGAAGGTCAATGGTTCAAATCTCACAAAAGGTGAGGAGGGTGTATGAGTTTATTTGTTTAATTTGCCATATATAAATATTATATATTTCCAAAAAAAAAAGGGTGGCAGGGTTTTTGTTTCGTTTTATGTGTAATTGGTTTTATAAGAACTCGCCCCGTACCAATTTTTTTTATGACACAATGCATCCCACTGAAGGTATGATCTCCAAAGGCTCATAAAAATACACAATCTCATAAAATGTGTCACAAAACACGGGTGTTACAGTTTCCATGACATGTCATTATCCACATGTAACATATTGGTTACGTGCAAATTTTTATTAAAAATTGCAGTTTAGATTTTTTTTGTACTATTTAATAAATATACTAAATAAATTAAAAATATTAAACTATTTATTAATATAACAATATTAAGCAGAATCATAGATCACAATATATTTC